TTGGAATAAACAGCTTGAAGTAGGAAAGAAGCATCCAGCCTGTTGAGGGAAGCCGTCCCTGCAGCCAGGATCTGTGAGCGGCGGAGGTTGTATCATGATACGGACTGTCTGCTCCATCCTACTTCCCCTGATGGCAGAGATGGTGAAGAAAAACCAGCAAAGGTTTCAGAGGATCATCTGCTGCCTTCAGGAACAAACCTTCTCCAAGGAACTCCCAAAGAACCGGCTGAAGAAGAGCAGAGTGCAGCTGCTGGAGCAGCCTACCTGCAGATTCGGACCCGTCCTCCACAGGAAGCGCTGATGGAGGAGGGATGATTCCCGCTCCGTCAGAAGGTCTTTGGAGAAGGACTGAGATCATGAACCCAAATGTCTGCAGCAAACAGGTTCTACTTTTAACAGAAACACTCCATGGTAACTTCTGGACCTGGCTCTGTCTCCATGGTAACTTCTGGTCCTGGCTCTGTCTCCATGGTAACCTGTCCTGTGACCTGGCTATGTCACCATGGTAACCTCAGAGGGTACCTAGATCTGTCACCATGGTAACAGTAACCTTAGCTGGTATCTGGCTTCGTAACCAAACTGTTGTGGCTCTTTAAGCCATTACCTGGCTACGTTGTCATGGTAACCTCAGCTGTTACCTGGCTCTGTTGCCATGGTAACCTTACCTGATACCTGGCTTTGTTGCCATGGTAACTGGTACTATGAGAGGGTTAGGGTTAAATATTAAAATCAAATTCTGCATTGCTGTCCGTTTTTCCATTTCGTATTCTTGATCTGAGCTTAGAAGTGATATATGAAAAACAAATCCTTTTTTCGTTTTTGGTTTAACCATAAAAAACAAGAAACAAATTAACCAGTCAATTTTTTATTTTTTGTTTTTTGATTGGCAATTGAAAATACAAAGAACGAATGATACACGGATTGAGCAGCTCCAGAAATCAGCCTCAATATTTGTTACTAAAAAGAAAACAAAATGATGCCGTTTTTTTTTTCTTGAATTTCGGGTACGTTCATCGTTAATTTCTCTGGTGTTCTACGACGTTTAGTGACATGTGATTGTTGTGGTTTAATTATCTGCAGCTCTCTGCAGCAGAACAGTGACTGTGTGGTTGGGTTCTGGTCTCTGCTTCGTTCCTGAGGTCATCGGAGGAGAAGCTCTTCTGTCCTGTTGTTGCTCCCAGCTCTGATTCTAACGGCGGTTCTGTTGAACTATCATGTTTAATCATCCTGCCTGACGTCCAGCTGACGATCCCTCTCTGTCCTTCAACATGGTTTAGGGGGTCAAAGGTCAGAGCAGCGTCTGCTGTAACAATCTGTCCGCTGGCTAACATCCATCACACGCAGACGGCTCCCTGCAGAACCTGACCTCCACCTGCAGCTTCCAGCATCCAGACAGGAAACATGCAGCTGCTGACAGGGAGCAGCGTGATGGATGGGAGCAGGAGAGCCTGATCGCCAGCTTCCTCAGCCGTCGGACGGTCCGCTTTACTGCCATCACCAAAGTAAAGATGTAAACACAGAGGATGCTTTGTCAAAAAATAAAACATCAAAAATAAAAATTATTTTAAAAAGTGCAGAAAATAGAGCCATGAGAAGATGTTTGTGAAAGTCTGAATGTTTGTCGATGGTTCCAGTTCCGCATCATTCACATGTTTATATATCTGCTGATTCATCCAGTTTTGGTTTAATGTTTTTCTTTGGATTAAACTGTAAATAAGAGAAAAGATTTAGGAAACACAGAAATATTTGCTCTGTTCGAATTCATGGGCTGCGTCCTTAGAAGGCCACATTAGAAGGACGATGACATCAT